ATATATATATATGTATATATGTATTTAATTTAATTGAAAGTTAGGATATTCCATTTTTATATCTCCTCACTTGTTTGAGTATAAAGTTTTTCATTGAATTTAAAAACTTTCGTCCTGTTTTGCCTCTGAAAATGAAACCGTTGACTTGTAAGATAGTAAGATAGTAAGTATTGAAAAATTCAACATATAGCATTAAAATTAGAAAAGTAAGTCAAAGATATAAATTATACTTCGTTACTTAGTAAAAAAACATAAAATTTCTTAACTAATAATTTTTACTTAAAATAAATATAATTCTGATAGTTCATGCATACAAGTTCATCCTTCTCCCATCAATCTTTAGAAAAGAGAGAGTTTGAGTTTAAAAACGGAACGACTCACTGTCTGCTTGTAGATAGCTTTTACGTCAATGTAGAGATAATAAATTGTACAATACAAAAGGAGAATTAACTATATCGTAAATCTTTTGAGTTATTTAATCGCCATAAGGAGAATAGAGTCAAAAGTTTGATTACCATGAAAATTAAAATAAATTCTTATAGCTAATATTTAAATTATTTGTTTAAACTATTTTCCTGCTGCTTTATTTTTAAATTAATATTTATTTTATATTATAATTTTATATATCATTTTTTTAATTCAATATACTTTGCATTTGTAATAACAATTTAATAAATCAAATAAAGTAAATTATTATTAAACTTGTTTAATTAACTAATAAATAGTTATTTTTACGAAAATTAATGACTAATTTGTTAATTATTTCGTATATATTTATTATCCATTTGTTATTATCGCAGAGAAATATTTACTTTTCTATATATTAGAAACTATGATAAATACTTGTATAGAAAATGTATCATTCATGAAAATATCATTATATATAATCATATCCCTTGTCACTTAACGCAAAATAATAATAGAGAAATAATAATAGAGAAAAGGAAACCAGATATGGAAGTATTTAAGAAAATGGAGACGTCTTATTGGGAGGTTCGACATTCGATTTGTGCTGTGCCCCTGTTAAAATGGTAACGAATAATGCACACAGTAAAAAAAAAAAAAAAAGAAAGAAAAAAAAGAAGAAAGCTAACCGAACGCGTAATGAAAGGGATAAAAATAAATAATATACGATTACTTTGGCTTAACGAACATGTTGGCTTTACATCTTTTCTGCGCGTGTGAAACGTAACGCGTGCAGATGCGATATATGTGTTTTTTTTTTTTTCGTGGCTTCCTCTATCTGCACGAAATCCATCACAACAAGGTCCGACAGTTGAATACGCGTGTCGTCACATTATTATTATATAATATTTAGATTATTCGCCAATATTTATCTATGTAAACATTTATTGAAAACAAGTCGATCGATTCCACTTCATTATACTATTTCACTTTATTTCCTTCACTTCACTACACGATGTACTTACAAATATATCCATATATAATATACAGGGCGAAATTTTAAATAATTTTTACTTAGTGCATAAAATGTTCTTTCTTACAATGTATCAGTTTAAAAGTAAATACATCGAATCACATTTAATTTGGAATATAATATCGATAAACTTATAATAATAACTTATGAAATACTTCACCTCTTACCGAATGTAATAAATTATAAACAACTGATTTTTCCATTGATTTTTTTTTAACACGGGTATTAATATTTATAATTATAAATCTTTTCGAATTTACCCCAACACTTTTGATAGATTCGTTTTCAATAATACTTCTCCACAAATGAAAAACGCGCATCAAAGTCTCTATTGTATTGATATATTTTTTATAATTTTTAATATATACATAATGAATGTATTATTCATATATATTGTAATTTAATTATCTCTTATTAATTACCTCTTGTAATTTAAAGTAAATAGTTTCTATAATAATAGGATAAACTGCCCTACTTCAATATGTTACATATTAATGTAAGTCCACGAATCAAAATGACTGCAGTATTTTACAAGATAGTAGAAGAAACAAAATTATCATGGTCGTGAAACTACAATTTCAAATTAAATAATACACAAACAATTATTATCTAACATTGGTAATATTTATAATAATAACACATAAGACTTTATGTAAAACAATATATAATAAGAATATGTCCTAATTTAACATTGAGAAGCAATAAATTTAGTAGTATTATATTATCATACTTCAATTATAGTTATATATTATAAAATAACATTACATATTAAAAATCATACACATACTAAACCGGTTCATACTAAAAACATTTCATATATACATACATATATATATATATATATATATATATTGCTTAATAATTCCGTTTAAGTTAATAAGAGTTTCGAATATTTTTTATTTTGAAACGAATTTTTGCTTATATTATAATGTGAATATTATTACCGAAAGTAATTCTTTCGATATATTATTACAGTTTTAGAATATTATTTAATGCACTATTTACTTCATATTTATTATTGTATAATTCGAAAGAATTTCATATATTTTTATTGAATTTATTTCATTTGACTTTACCATCTTAAATTCCTCCTTCCTCCACTCATATCATCTTTCTTTCTCTGTCTGTCTGTCTGTCTGCCTGTCTCTCTCTCTCTCTCTCTCTCTCTTTTGTTTTTCCTCTATTATAATTTGCTCTTTTTCCTTTTTTTTTTTTTTTTTTTTTTTTTTTTTTTTTTTTTTTTTTAATAGCCTTAATTACAGTATACGACAGACTATTTAGATAAATTACTATTTATACATGAGTGACAATCTGTTTGTTACATAATTCATTCTATTTATATTAATTAATTTAATTGTTTTACCTTTTTATTAATTAGATAATCTCATATAGATATAATTATTAAAATTTTCTAGCTAAAATTATATTGATCTTTATTGAAAAGTTATGCTACAACCTTGTACTATTTTGTTTGTCATTTAGTCTAATTGTTTTATATATTATTTAAAATCATAATTTTAATTTACATAATTTCTACTACATTTTTTCAAAGTATAATGAAAAGAAATTTATTTTTAATAGTTTATTTATACGTTCAAAATCTTTTGTGATTCATTGCTTTTTACATCCGTACTGCAAAGTCCCTATACAAGCATTTCGAAATTTCATCTTCTTTGTTTTTAAAAGTATAAACGTATCTACAAATAAATTCGCGTATATGTTTTATTATATTTATATGATGTCTTCTAGTTAATCGGTTTTTTTTTTATTTTTTTTTTTTTTATTATTACTGCATAAAATCTATATCGTACTTCAAAATAACGTGACTCTAAACATATTTTTATTTCACATTATCAATATTTTTTCAATCAATATATATATTTAATAAATTTAGTTAAAAATTTATAATACCTTAAAGAGTAATGAGCAAAGAAGTTTTGATTCTTTAAGTATAAATAAATGAGTGTGCTGGAAAACAATGAATATTTAATAAAACTATAAGTTTAAAAAATGTCAAACAATTAACTATGAAAAATCAATAAATTAAAAAATCAATAATATTTTACATCAAAATATAAACAATGTAACTGTTGAGAAATTTAAAGTTTGAAATTAAAGATAAAATCAATAACAATCCATTTTTCCGAATAAATATTGATATAATTTCAAAAATTAGGTTATAATTATGAATTATTTGAAATGGATATTTTAAAATTATTTAGCTCGAGTGATTGAAACAAACCTGAAGGCATTATATTTATTTTTAAAACAATTGCCTGTAACTTGTTATTGCTAGTAAATATTTATTTATCATCTGTTATCAAAAATGTATTCAATAACGATTTAGACAATTAAAATAAATCGCTTGAAATATTGTTGTGATTTTATTATTTTCAATACGATTTATTTGAAATTCTACGTACTATTTCGCTTTTAGTTCAACATGAATATTTAAAATCTCCTGACCGAATTGATTTCAGTAAACTGTGTTTGTAAAATATAGCATTATGTAAAATATTTCTATTTAGTGGATCAATAATAGCATTAATATTTTACATAAAATAAATAATCCTTTCATGTTTGTATTAATAATTATTTTTTGTTGTATATAAATATATGATATACGTATGTATGTATATAGATACATTTGGCTACGTATGATATGTACGTACACAATATAATATTGATATGTAGATTGACATAAATGTGTATGATATATCCTATATCAATTTCTTAATTATAATCAATCATGTTTCATTTTTTTGTTGTCTTTTTTTTTTTTTTTAATATGGGAATAGCAATAATTCATTTTCGTCAAAATGAAGAATAAATAAACAATTTGGTTTATATACTGTAAATGTGAATAACATGGTGAGGTAATTCTACATTTGGTCTTCTTCTAATCTCGCAAGCACTTAATCTTGCAAATGATTAAACATCATCTTTCGTGGATTATAAATTTATAGTTTAATTAATCTAGTTTTAATCTAGTTTTAAAATATAAAATACATGTTACTCACATTACAAATACCTTGCATTAATTCAATATGCTTTAATTTATTGTTGTAATTTATTGTTGTATTAAGAAGACTTTCTTTTTCCTAATTATACAATTTTTTTTTTTTTTTTTTTTTTTTTTTTTTTTTTTTTTTGTAAAAATACAAGTATTTTATTAAAATTGTAATAAATATTGGACAATTTAATGCAAGAATATACGTTTTAATTGCGGTGGCATACAGTTTATAACACGATAGAACAAAAAAAATTATCTATAATTATGAACAAGTTAGAAAAGGCCTTATTTTAAAAGCTAAAATAATTGTGAATATAATTGTTACAACAAATTTTACACGCCGTAAGTTGGTATGTTGAATATAAAACGATACTTATGAGACGATACTTAACCGATGCTTTGACAAATCCAAATTCCAAGCATGTCGAGCTTAAGCAGGTACTTGTAAACGGCCTCGCCGAAGTCGAGGTTCATGAAGACGTGGTAGAGGAAGGATCCGATCCACGGACTGATGGCTCCGATCACATGACACCAGGAGAGAAAACCCATAAGGGATTCGCGCGTTCCCCATGGAAGTAGATGCGGCACAGTGATCAATATATAAATAATGGCAACTCCTAAAACAAACGGATAGTGAGATCTCTCGTTAGCACAGAGTTCTTTATAATATTTTACGCTGAAAAATTAATTGTAAATCTTTTATCAATGTTTACATGCGTTTACAGAGATATTGAAAGTATACTTATGAACTGTAGCGACGATTAGTTTTATTCTATAATATTCTCTAAATCGTTATTATTCGTCGGTACATTATGAAAAATAGCTAAGCTCTGCAGCCTCTTAAAAATTCGTTATGTAATTGACAAATTGTCGACAAAATTATGGGCAAATTTCATAATCGTTAATCATTAATCGATATAATTCTCGTGGTCACCAATTAGTATGTTGTTATACTCTTTTGACGTGTCCTTGGCCACGAACCTGCGAGCAAAGGACAAACAGTGACAATGCATTTAACAACGCCTTGCCACCGAGGCTTCGCACCACGTGCATGTCGATGTCGCGGAAGCACTTGATTGATCGTCATAATGTAGCAGCCACCCTCAAGATGGTGAGCGATGGAACTGGGCCTGGGACGAGGTGGGGGAGGAAGAGATACCGCGAGGTGCAATGCCAAGGCCGAGCGTAAAGCGTAAGAACACGTGACAGCAGCGACGATAGCCCGCTCGAATGTCTTTTATCGAGCTTCGTCGTATAACTGCGGTTTCTCCTCTCGTTTTTTCCCCCTTTCGCCCCTCTTCAACCACTATATCTGCCAGATTATAAGCAAGCAAGCGGAGTACAAAGTAGCCGAGGTATTACGACTTGTATTATAGAATTGCTGGGCGACCTGGTTTTCCGGAAGTTCTAGCATCGGCTGTGCATTTGGATTAGCTGGAAAGGAAACGAGAAAAGAGAATAATCGATTCATACGCATTTTTATTTATCGTAGAGAGTAGATTGTCCCTGGGATTAAATCCACTCAGCAGCTGTGCTTCATGCTTCACTTTTCAGACGTTGAATATTTAGATAGTAGATGGTAGAAAAGAAGTTTCGAATATGTAGGACGTAAAATTGACGTAAAATTGAAAATTCTCTTGTCGAATCCCTTACCTTATAGCCTCCATTCCGATTTTATATAAAAATATTTATTCTTCGCGCCGTTACTTGTGCACCGTTATCACAAAGCCGTTGATAGAAGACGTCTGGTAATAACTCAAGGATAACTTACAAAAATTGTGCATTAGTATAACGCATCAACTGGCCCATAAAATAACTCTTTCAAATATTCGTAACAAAAGTATTGTCTTTCTGTTAAAGCTGCTTAAATTTTCAAACTGATTTCTCGTTAAATACGAAAATAAAGAGAGACGTTAAGGTAAATGGTATGTACGAACGTTAAACAAAATTGATTAAAAATTACAAGACTCCTTTATGGCATAGATTTCAGAAACGTTTTAAAGACTGAAAAAATTTCGTACCAGCATACTTTATCAAACAAAGACTTATCAATAGAGAGAATTTGAATAATATTATTCATTAAGAAAATTGTATTTTATCGACTGTACTAAAACCGCACGATTTTTTTTTTTGTTTTTTTTGTTGTTAAACTTTGTTTATTATTAGCAATTTCAACAGATTTCTTTTCTTTTGGAGAAAAATTTTAATGCCCGCAATAAAATTTTTATGGTAGCTTTATCAGTAGCTTTATGTCTTTTCAAGTCAAGTATGCTTTTTACTTCTATATAATTATTAATAGAGTGAATTTTTTCTTTTTTTTTCTTTAATTTATAGCTATTAACAAAAAATTATTCATTAAAAAGTAGAAGAAAGAATAACGATAATCAATACTCCGAAAGTATTTGATGTAAAATATGTATTAGTAATGAATGACACACGGTTTTGAAAGCAAAAAAATTAGAAATATTTACATTTGTCGATAAAATTATCAAATAATTTTATTACATAACGAATTAAATGTACATGATTATAAATATCGCTTATTTTAATTTTTGTATATACCGAATGAATTTGTAATTTTTAAATTACTCTTAAGATATAAACTTCCGTATTAACTAATTAAATATTGTTATGATAATACATAGATAAATAAAACGTAAATTTTAATCACCTGTTTATTAACATTTTATTTTGTATTATTAATTGTAATATTATTAATTATGATATGAATATCAAGGATAAAGATAAACTATTAATTCTTTTTATTGTTTAATTGTCAAATTTAATATATTTTATATGCGAAATTACAAAATTATATACATAATTGAGCATAAACAATTAAATCAATAAACAAGAAATATTATTTGTCTTGTAAATACTAAAAGGTTGTCCTGACTATATTTGCAAAATACAGCATCAAATTGAAAACTGATGCTTACCTATAAAAATAATGTCATTATAAGATATTTTAACCGAGATTATCTATATAATACTACCCATAAATTCAACTTTATTAATATTTATTTTAAAATTTATTATTATATTTGAATAACTCTTCACTATTGCTATTATTATGATTTGTCTTGGAATAATTTTAGCAGCAAAATGTTTGATGCTGAAGTAATTTTCAATGAGTGTCAGTGGTAAACGAAGTAGTCGTAATGGTCATTGAAAAAAGCATTTTTTTTTTTAACTTCTAAATTACTAGTGATGATAATTTTAATAAGTAAATGCAAACTCTTTATTCCATTAAATACAAAAATCTCTTATTATTCCAATGACTATGTAATAGTACTTTAAATGACTAATTGCAGTAAAAAGAAAACTTTGTATTAAAATTTCTGTAAAAATTAATAATTCAATGCAATTTTTGTTTGAATGAAAAAAAAAAAAACTGTATCTTTATTAATAAATGAAATGCGCCTTAGATTATAAAATCTCAAAATAAAACTGCAAATTCTATATAAATATACATGAAAAATCCATTAATGCGCTGTAAATAATAATAAACGTAAAAAAATGTTTTAAAAAATAATACCTACAATTCATGTGGTAACAAATAAAAATATGATAGATGTTTAATGTAAGTAAATGTATTATTTAAATAATGACAGCATTTGGTATAAACAAAAATCAACCTACGCATGGTGTAGGTAAGAGATTAAAGCTGAAAACCGAATGAAACAAACCGGTAAATCACTAAAGAAAATGACTCGATGAAGATGTGCGGAGTATACCGTAACTAAAGTATTTAGAAAACATTTGTTTCGGCATTTATGGAATACTTATGTGTGAAATTCATTGGCAAGAATAAATTGAAAAAAATTTGAACTTCGAGTGACGTCTCAACTATTACCATTTCATATTCGTATGGTATTCTTGTATTCTTTCATTTGATTTCATAAAATTCGACTAGATCAGCCATAGCAGACGAATAACTTAAAAATCTTATTTTGTTAATTCTATTAACATTTTTAAATATTACGTGCATAATAATTAAATTGATTACAAATTATTGAAAAAATTATTCAAAAATTTAATTATTAAAAAAAATTAATGAATAGTGCTTTACCAAAACTTTTACATTACATATGTTATATTAAATATAAAACTATATTTAATGTATAATAAACTTTTTCTTTCCTATGTTGTAATACAAGTTGAAATAATTTTCCAATTTTACAGAACACGAAACTTGAGTGTTCTTGAAATTCGTAAATTTCTTACATAACGTTACGTAATAATGTAGAGAATACATTATATTATTAATTATTAAGCTTATATTATTAATTATTATTTCAAATCAATCAAAAGACTCGCGTTTATTAAGTTATTATAATACAGTATTGTTATAATAATAATTTGATTTATTTAATTAAAAGTGCGTGGAAGATGTAGAAAGAAGAATTAACTTGTATTATAAACAAAATCATTCTTCAATTAAAGCAACTACTATAAATAATTTTAAAGATATTTCCAAACATAAATTAGTAATTTAGATAATATCGTTTTGGAAAAAAAATTAATAATAAATTATTACAATATACTGCTTCGTCATATTTTACATTTCAATGACAATGTCAGTGAACCAATGAATACCGCACAAAATACTACTCATATTAAACATAATACATTAATGACAAAGATTAAAATAATAATTTATCAAAATGTTATGAATTTAAATATAATACTTTCTAAATATATGCATTTAAATTGAAACAGTACAGGAAATAAATAATAGCTATAAAAAAAAAAATAGTTTATGAACTTTCATATGCATTTACAAAGCAAAATAATTTATTATTATTAACATATGAATATTTATATTGAAGTGTATTTAAATTTATATCTTTTTCAGCAATTATTTTATTTTCATAACTCGACACAAATACACGACCACTTGAAATGAACATTTATTCCTATTTATCTCTCTCTCTCTCTCTCTCTCTCACTCTCTCTCTCTCTCTCTCTCTGCATTTTTTGCATCGTTTATCAATCATATTTGATTACGTAAATCATACTTTACTCTTCCTTATGAATGTGAAATAATTTAATTAAAAATATACGATATAATTCATTAGACTATATTTAAATACATATTGTATTATTTAATAATTGTAATAATATAATAAATGATTGATATAATAAATGTTTAATGTTTTGAAATATATTAACAAAGAGGAGTAATTGTTAAGATAAATATTAATTTTCTTATACGTGTACATACAAAATTATCTTACGATTGAAGTCAATGTTTTCTTATTCATTAGTAATCATCTTCAGCAAATAGGCAATGATTATAGTGACATAGTCACACCAAATTTATTTTTTGATATCCACGTATTTGACACAATGGAATGTTTCACAAAATACTAGTGAAATCCTAATTACTTGATTGATAAATTTAGCATATGCGAAAATCGAAATACATCTCGCACTCTTTAGAGTAATATACATTTCAATAAATTAAGAATTACATAACTCCTGAACCATTTTCTTTTATTTAATAAAAACTGTTACAAGTTAACAGTCACCTAGATATTAATTTGTTAAATTTTTCATATTTAAATACTATATAGCTTTATAATCGTAATATATTTTAATACTTGTTAAATGTGAGAATAAAAAAAAAATGTAATTAAAATTATGCATATGTACACATGTATAGAAATAGATGAGCAACATTGAATTACATCTAGTTAATAATGTATATTATTCTATTTATCATTTGCTTTCATAGATACATATGAAAAACTTACTTATTAAAAAGAAACTTAATATTCGTAGATATTGAAAACTTTGTAAAGTGCGCAAACTTTATATGCAATTTACGCTTTGTACATAATTATAAAATGTTACAAGTTGATGAATTTAGTATACTATTATTCCCATACTAACTCCCACCTAAATTTTTAATCGCTCGATTGTTTGGCTTACAGATTATGTATTCGTTAATACGAATTGTCAAATATATTTATTAAAAAAAAATCTGTGTATCAATATTTCCAGTTTTGGTGCCCATACAACATTCTGCTGATTCGAATACCAAACTCTTCTATCGTCCTGGGATACATCCGATCGCGTTTTCGCTCTGATCAACTTGCAATGATTAAATAAGTTTGAAAGGATGCGATGAGTACCAAAAGTATATATAGCTTTACTAAACTTTAATGATTATCTAGGATGACGATTACGTTGACGGAGGCAGAATAATATGAAATATCTCGCGCGTCGATCTTACTTACAATAGATATAGTTTTGTTCTTTTTTTATGTTTTTTTTTTGTTTTTTTTTTGTTTTTGTTTTTGTTTTTGTTTTTGTTTTTGATTATTAAAATCAAAGTGACCGAGTGAGAGAAACGAAAAAGACTCATAATGTTGCGAATAGCGTTTTAATGACTTGCATTGTTCTTTTCTCTAACGTGGAAAGAAATAAATATAAGAATTGTTATATGATTTGAAAGAGCTAGTAAAACAGGTGGTTCTTCGTCATTTCAAGATAGACATCACAGCATCACGCTTGTATTATAGATTGCAATGAAAGGCCAAAAGTACGAGAGGCGAATCGGTCAATCGCTGGGACAGGGCAGTCGTACGATAATTCAAACATGAATAAAATTACTCACCGTGCGTCCATATATTCACAGTCTCGTTGTGCAGGCAGAAGATGCTCCTGAGGCACTCGACGGGCTTCATGAGGGGCCTGTAACCCCCGCGTATATACGGATTGAACTGCAGGTGCATAGGCATCTCGCTCCATTGTCTCAGGGTGGATGCCTGCGACTTCGCAGAGACCCCATGACTCTGGGGCGGCTCCGTCGCCGAGAAGCGGCGGATCACCCGATGCCTGACGCCCTTGTGGTCACCTAACTCGTTAGCATTACTCGTCGTTGGGCCTTACTGACACGTTCTGCGAACAGCGGTAAACAGCCACCGATTAATCGAGCCTCGTCTCTACTTGGACACCGGCATTGCTCGCGGCTTCGTAGCCCGATCGATTGAACAAGGCGACCGGGATTGGCGACGCGACCCTTCGTCCACACGACCGACAGTGACTGTTAAAACGACGATTGCTCGGCAGCTCCGCGGCCGTCAGGCTTTTCGATCTTGGCGATCGACTCCAAGAGCCAACGCCTCTTAAAGCCGTCATTTGGGCATAAGGCGATCGAGTTTCAGAGGCGCGATTTCCGTTTCATTAATCATTTTATAATCCTCAAGCGATAATAGCCGTTTATCTTATATTCCGACGACACGTATGTTGTTGGAATTAAAAAAAAAATCATTGTTATTTCGTGAAATGATAAGTGACACATGGAATACGGGAGGGTTAAATTTGGTTTGTCACGAAGCCAAATGCTATAAGGAAAGAGGCAGTGTATAAATATGAATATTGCAAATTAAACTGTGCAGTAATTAACAATATTCGGATACCATGAGAAAGGCCCTACGATACGATTAAGCATATAAAAAAATAAAATTTAAAAAATAAAGAATTTATGATTAAAAAAAATCATCTTGTTTGTTAGCTTTAATCGTTATTATTCATACGTAATTTGATAATATGCATGGCTAAAGTGCTTTATACGACAAACGAATTCACACTTTTCAGTTGAGTAATTAATGACTGGCTCCAGTAAATATGTAGTCAATTTGGTGACATAAAATCATTACAAAAACTTATTATTATTTTTTATTTCACGTGACATTGTCACTACATTTTGAATATTCTTGATAATGAGTGCCTTTCATATAGAGCTGCATTCTGTTCCAATTACATTACATATCAAACAATGTTCTAGTACGTTGAATAATTTATAATATTTTAGGTTTACTCGATAAAATTATTTAACAGTATACTTCATCGTTATTATATGTATATTTACTAAATTTTAGACCATTCGAAATTTATCATTCGTATACATAAAGTAAAATTGTCAATGTTAATTTAAAATACTTATCATCTAATTATGCCCATGAAAAATTAATTTACAAATTCATCGCGAATTTAAACATCTTCAACTTTTACAACGAAATATCGAAAAATAGAAATCGATAAAATTTAGAAAAGAAAAGAATATAATAGAAATTGTAACGAATATAGTAATGAATAAAGAAATATAATAAAAGAAGGAAAGGAGGTGATATTCAAAACTATAATGAACAATAGAAAATATTACACGAAGAACAAAAGCTAAATGAATAGGGCGATCAAAGAATGACACACACAGAGAGAGAGAGAGAGAGAGAGAGAGAGAGAGAGAGAGTATCTGATAAAAAAATTAGATAAACGGATGCACGTATACGGAAGATTTGACAAAGACGGGACAAAATCGAAAAACAGCATAAAATATATTTTAATGAAGAAAGAAATTTTTAATTATTTAAATGTTTTAAAAAGTTTAATACAGAAAGAACAAAATGAATAAAAAATAAATTATATAAGAAGAAAGACGTAATCAAAACAATAAAAAATACAAGTGAAAACATTAGATGACATTGAAAACAAAAAGTAAAACTGCGATATTAATATAAAAATTATATAAAAATAATGGAAAAAATATTGATTATTCTTCTAAACAAACATAAACTTATTAATCGACTATAAATTAAGTTAAAAATCACAATCAAAAAGGTTTATTAGAAAAAAAAAGATAAAAAAACAAAACATATAGTGAGAGCATAAACATGTTCGTATCAATAATTTATTATATGTTATTATTAAATAATAGATTTTGAAAAGTGCGAAAAATGCAAATAAGTAGTAATAGTACGTATGATCACAAAAAAACTGGTAGATTGGATAGGAAGAAGACATGTAACTTAAATTTATTCTTTCAATTGAACATAAAGTTTTTGCTTGACTAATAAATTTTACATTTACTGTTACAATTATAAATAGAAGGTAATTTAACAAATAAATACGTTTTAAAAATGAGGTTAAAATCACATACATTCGTGATAAAAGAACTTTTTATTTATCATAATAATAAATCTTAAATAATTGAATTGTTGTTTACAATTAAGAAAGATTTTATTCGTAAAAAGTATAATATTCGATATGCTTTATTAAATTAAAAAAATTTATATATATAATAATTTTTGTTTGTATTCATTTGCAAAGGTAAAATTTGCAATATTGATCATTACAAATAAAACTGCAGATTGTTCTATAGAGTTGTACAACAAAATTTTTATAATCTAAATTTATTGTACAACAAATATTGAAATAAATATTATAATTGAAAAAGAACTATCATTATTAGTATTATAATTACTAATAATTGAAATTAATGTCATGAATAATTTAATTTATATAGTACCGAAACCGTAGAGATTCCACATTCCAATTTTAAATCTAATGATTTAGGTAAATTTAATTTTTCAAACAGTTTATTTTAAAAAGACAGTTTTACAATAATTATAGTTATTGTAATTATGTACACAAAATTATCTAAGACATTATAAATAACAAAGTATTTAATGAAAAATTTGGTGATAAGATTTTGAATAATTTGTGCTAGGAAGCAAACATTTCACTTAATAAATATTATACTATTCTCTGTTATATAAATTTTTAAGTTAAATCAATAATTCACTTTCAATATAATTTAAATTAAAACTTGTCTTCTGTTCTTTAATTCTATTTTTTGAATTACAAACACGTATTTCCAATTACATCTACCATTGTGTGCACTGCGGTAGAATATAAAAAAATCTGGCCAGACATACATGCTACTTGTACATGTATATCCAAGTTGCAGTAATATTTCGTATAAATTGACTTTACCTATTGGAAACTATTTTCGAATGTACTTTTAATAACATTAATATCGTTAGTGTAATTTGTTCTATTTCGCATTCATTTATCAATTATCTAATCATAATTTAATTAAAACAAAGACATTTTCCGAGTAAATTAAATTTAATCGATTAAATACATTTGATCCTATATTATAAATAATTTTAAAACATTATACCATGCAACGATAATCTACATAAAAAGATAGTTTAAACTTTTACGAATACATGAATAAGAAAAATAAACGATTAAACCATGCGATAATCGAATACTAATGCAATCCAACTCAACTATATTTAAATGCAATTGCAATGGTACTGCAGTAAGAAACACACTTTAAAATTATTTTGTAATTTAAAATTTTATGTAATAAACTGATACGTTTTTCAAACATAAAGACTTATAATGTGAATTTATTAACTTAATATAGACAACAGCCATTGCTAGTAGTGTAGTATTACATATAGTTAAGACAGTAATGTTTTATAAAATAGTAATACACATATGTTATATAAGTACATAATTATATATAGCCAATATCAGATTATTGCTTATTATTATTATATAATGTACATTGATTTTAGAAATTTTAACAGTAAATGTAATGATGCAATTATTTGATTTGACGATTTGAATTAGTTAGTTGTCGATTGAGCTAGTTAGTTGTAATTGATTGAAAATATTAAAAAAATTTTAAATTAATGAAATTAAATATTCAATATAAATATAACTATAATCTTCGTATAGAATAGGCGTTCTTTTTGAATAAATAAATTTCTTAAATACTTATTTTACAGTAATGTATTGTCAAAAATTTGTATCGATTGTTATATTTTTTTTATCTTGACTTTCAATGATTATCACATTATAAACAAAATTCTCTGTACAATTTGAATTACATTTATGTAGTTATAAATATTATATAAAATATCATAGCAAATATTATACATACTTTTATATATTATATATACTGTTTTGAAAAGTAATAAAAAATAGAAAATAAAAAGAATAAAAAATTATGAAAAATACAAAGTAAATGAAAAATATAAATATATAATTATATATGTAGAATGTCTCGATGTTAAATATTTAGTATTTACATCATTACCTTTATATCTTTTAACATATTAAAATTATTTAAATAACATTGTGTTAAAAGTTAAGAAAACAAGAAACTATATTAATGTACGAATGATTAATATCATAATATAAAAATTAATCTATTTTCGAAGCATAAATTAGGAATATTTATAAACTAACACTTAAAATAAATTATAAATTGTGAACTTTTTATTCAATAATTTTTTATTTAAAATTAGAATTATTTGAAAATTGAAATAATAATTTTATTGTAATAATATGTGATTTTAATCAACTAATTAAATGCAACTGAAAAATTTGCTGCTTTAAAAAATTTATAAAATGAATAAATAAAATAAATAATGAATTCTTATATAATAAACATATTTCGTAGTTAATTTTATTAATTATTGATGACGTTAAAAATCACTTAAGTTTAAAAGATTTGAAAGCGAATCGATGAGCATAAATCTATCTTTTATAGATATTTGAAATTGAAATTATTTATACATCAATTATATATTTAAATAATTTAATTTACTTAAAATTAATCATTAAAAATGGTGAAAATAAATTTATTCATATAGCAACATTACGTATAATTTATATTAATATAATTTCCACGCTTTGAATTAACTATATTGAGTATGAATTATGTTTTAACAAAATATTGTTTTTTTTTTTTTTTTTTTTTTAATTAAAAAATGACGTTAGATGACATTCATATTTTCATACATAGGAATCTAAGCGAAAGCATAAAATTTTTTATAATTTAATATCGCCTATTAGCCTACGTTTTTATTAGTTAATATTTATGATTTTTTTTGTCAATTGTTAATATTTTTATTACCAATTATACATATTTACAATATTAGGAAATCATAAAATAGTTCTAATGAAATAATTTTATTCAAAATTTTTAACAATCAGATTTACAGCTTGAAATAATAACAATAAACAAATAGAATCAATTTATTGCCTTTGATGGATCGAAATCAAACTATAGAAAATTAAGCCACGCTAACTAGTTTTCATCATAAACGACAAACTTATTTACCATGAAAAATTATCTTTACAAAGCAGTTAGACTGATTATACGAGCATAGAAATTAAACTAACAGACAAATTAAAATAAATTTAGGTTATCTAAAATTTATTTAATTTTTATTGAAATTATCTATAAATTCCATAAGGCTGCATTTAAAAGCTTTAAAAACAATATATAAAATTTCAAATCGAACGTACTTTACAAACATTTCCTTTATTTAACTAATACGTTTACAATTTTGGATGCATCAGATGCGACTACTTTCCCTTCATTACTCAGTAGTTCCCTTAATATAAAAATATTCTGTCAAAATACAAATCTGCGATATTGTAGCGCGCAGTGCGCTTTAACAATTAACAGAAGTATTGCACACTATCAAAGAGAAAACTAACAATAGAAGCGTATTTATCATTTGTTCACGTGCACGATAAAATAGTAGCGTTTTTCCAATTCCAATACGGTTTCCTACTATTAACTCGATAAGCGCTAATGACGACAGTACACAATAATGGCAATAAATGAAAAAGTAATACGTAAGTACTGAGTAAAGCAAATGTAATTAAAATCCAATAAAAAACAAGCAAACAAACAAAAAAAGAAAAAAAAAAAGAAAAAAGAAAGGAAATGAAAGAAAAAGCAGAATGTGCGCGCGGCGTATTAACCGTCCGAGTCGAAATAAACGTTAAACGTCGGCTAAAGTGTCAGCGGGCTGATACCAAGTTGGCGCGTATAAGGAAGAGATAGATACTTGCGCGAGGCACGGCAAAGTTATTTATAAATGTCGCATTAAGCATCGATGAAATACGTACTGGGTGTACTTGCACCTGGAGTAGTACAAGACGAATCGGCCTACGGCGATCCCTCGTCTCATGCACGGGAGACCCCAAGCCCTCGTCCCGACGAGAGCGCGACTTTCGAACGAGCCGCGGGTGAGCGGAAGTCCGTCCCGCACGAGGTGGACGGAAGGATGCGTGTATTGCGGGTCACGGAGGAATGCGGAAGTCACGGGCTTCGGGGGTTGACTGTTTGCACGAGTGCGGAGCCAAACGTAGCCAGCGTCGGCGCCGCCTGCGGACTTCAACCCCCTCCGAGTCCACGTCCAACTCTCGGCGCCGTCGCCGAGGAAACGATCGTATCGATCGTTTATTATATGCATGTGGACGGTTTACCCGCTCTCACTCACTCACTCGCTCGCTCCCCTGCTCTCGCTCACTCACTCACTCACTCTGTCTTGCTCGTTCCTGCACGTGTAGCAGATCCTCGCTGGCCTACCTTTCTCGTTCTCTTGGCTTTTGACTTCTCGATCAGCTTTATTTAATGCAGCAGTTATGGAGGTGCGCGCGCCCCTTGGACGATATTGGCCAAAAGACTGGATCGGCTTCGTTGAAACCGTACTTATCGTCGATGATGCCTAGCCGGACACGTGTGAGGTGTTGCCAGTGTAGGTCACGACATGTGGGTTAAGTCCATTTTCGTAACTGAGCCACTCTTAAGCAAGCCGGTCGGGCACTTGCCTTTTATTTTTACAAGTTACTTAACCATCATCTTTGGTTTTCTATTGTTTATTATTTTCGGCGAATAGAGAGGCTTCGTATTTAAAGTTTACATGAAGGTTGAATTTCGGATTTAATACAATAACCTGTACTTTATTTATCTGCAAATTTAATTTCAATATAATTATATTGCCATTAGTTAAGAATACTTAACTTTAAACTTAACTTAACTAGTTCTTATAATAACATCGTAATTATTTTCTAAATTATATCGATTACGAACTTGTTGATCGGTATACACTGGATAACGAAATGCATTTCTCTTAAAATTGTTAATTTGCATTATAAACTACGAAAATTGCAGCGATTGAATTTGCATGTGAATATTCGCTACCTCGTGGGAGCTTATAAATGTAACGTTTATACTCATTGTAATTTATATACAGATCCTTTGTTTCAAATCGGAATTAGCGATATAAGATAAATATCATAAAATAAAAGAGGATAAAAATAATTATTGAATGAGTAAAAAAAATAAATATTGAAGAGAATTCCATTCGTAATGTAAGACAATTGACAAATTACAAACCACATCAAAAACATTGATGATTTTATACATTCTCACTATTGAATGTAAATTATAATGAAATAACTAACACTTACCTGTGATACGTGACAGTATTATGGACTGTTGCTTCAATTATTTATCAATCGAAAAAATAATATTTGTTAAATAATGGTGTGGGAATTTGTCCTCTCTGTGGGAGTTTTTAAAAATTCGTAGAACTCATTGTTGTAAGCATCTCTACCTATTTTGATTGATTTTTGTTGTACATATAATCAATAATTAATTATTATTCAAAATAATTAGTAGACAAATACAGTAAGTGGCATACCATTGATATAATAGTTACCATAGTTTTACCATACCATATTACCATATTACCATAGTTTTCAATTTTTATCCGTAACTTTACTTTTGTACAATTAATTAAAGTCTTAAATTTACACTTGAAAATACTATTATAGAATATTAAGGTAAAATTATACGAAATTGTTTTTCTTAGTGTAGTTCAAGAATGAATTTTCCTACTAATATTGGATTTACGGATAGAGTCTAATGCGAAAATGATGGTTTTTCATAGGAAACGCCGGATTACTAGGAAAGTGCTTCTATTCTCTTTTATGATTATTATGATGCTGACGATTACAATTATTGCTATTGTTGTTATTATTGTTATTATTTTTTGTCGTCGTCGTTGTCGTCGTCGTCGTCGTCGTCGTCGTCGTCGTCGTCGTCGTCGTTGTTGTTGTTAATACAGTTAAATAATGTTGGAATGAATGTAAAAATTTTACAAATATGACATTTAGCAGTGAAGTTGGTTTTTAAAAATATTTCAATAAACATCGGTGGTAGGCCATTGTTTAAGATAAATTATCCAATACTAATTGACCCGACGATTCATGCGAAATGCCGTAGAAAAGGAAAGTAAGCGCCGGCGCTTTGGCAATTCGCAATAATGCAGACGACTTCTTGGCGTTGATTATATAGATGTTGAAAATTCGGGTCGACTCGCGCTGCGCGCAATCTCGAGAATTGTGTCAAAACACCGATATGCAGTGTCAGTGCCGCGGATTATCGGTGTGAGGTCGGCAATCATCGCTCGTAGCTTCGTGCAATAAACAAAGATATTTATATAAATGTAATGAGAAATTAGCAAGCTCGTGTGTGTAAACATTTTACACGGAATTCGTGATACAATTTTTACGAAATCCATTAATCTTTCTAATTTTACATAAACGAATGACAATTCATTTATTTAATGCAAAAAAAAAACGTTTCACTTATTAATATTAATAATTGTTGAATAAATAAGTAAACTTGAATAAGATTTCATTTAATTTAGCTTCATTCTTCGCGAAATGTGCATGCAACACTACACGATTATATAATATACTTTATCTTCGCTGTTTTGAAGTTTATAAAATGTGTAAATGTTGCGATAACAATTACTTGTAACACTTCAAAATTATATTATCGGTAAAAAATTTTAAAGAAATTTTTCCGCATCATGCAATTTGTAGAAAATATATATTATAGTTTGGATATAATTTCGTGCTGTTTTCAAAAACTTATATACAATAATAATCGGAGCTTTATATTTACATATTATATTATGATGTTCCAGAACATTGCGATACCAATATATATGATACCAATAAATTATAAAAAATATATTATTATTATACAGTTGAAATTATTTACGGGTTAATTGCACTCGCACACGACAAAAAGAAATTACTACACTTTATCATTAAAGCACAAACATACATTGTTGACACACATTAAAAAGTCTTAAATTATTCAAGTGAACTGAAATAATAAAAGACAAATTAATTACGTATGTATATACTTAATTATTACAACTATTGTAATTATACAAAATATATAAATTGTATATATAATATCAAAACATTAAAATCTAGAACATTGATGTGGTAAGAAACATCGTAATAATTATCTCATCCGCCATTGAATGCTTATCCGAAAATAACTCATACCAAAGAATTTTCAGTTTCAGTTTTAAATAGAAGATCCTAACAAGTAGACGTTACTTAATAATGAAAGTGTTTGCAATGTAAGATTACACGTAGGACTAAGTGCATTGAATTATATGCATTTTGCAATCTTTCAAAGCGTATTGAAAAGTTATAAAAATTATTTTTCAAGTGAATAGTGTGCAGTTGATTTGTGATATTTATCATAGATATATATGATTTTGAGAAAAAATGATTAATAATGGGTGCTTCAAAAATAAAATATAATTGGATAAAATTATTGAAGTATAGTAAAATAATTAACCAGGTAAATACCGAGTTGCTTCATCATTTCTACTTCTGGCAAAGAACTGAAATTAACTTTGAAACGAAACGATATAATTTACAAAAGTGAATTTATAATGCTATTTAATTTATTTATTTTTGTAGCGTCATAAAGTGTCCCAAATAAAATATTACTTTATTTATTATGTACATTTAATCCATTATATTTTATACTGATATTATAAATTGTAAAATTTTAATGTACTTTGAAAATCTTATGTACCAAAACTAATATAGGTCATATAAAAAGAAAAAAAAAGAAAAAAAAAGAAAAAAAAAGACAATTCTAAAGTTGTGACTTGTGACTTATGAATAGTGACAATTTCTCAAACTATGTCGCTCTTATAAAGTAAAATAATTGTTGAACTTCTTCTAGACAACATTATTCACATATTTCGAAAAGTTTATTTTTAATAATGAGTACATCAAATACCAAGCGCTATATTAAGCTGCTTATAATAATAATAATATAATTAATCTCAAAAGATAATGTTAATTTCAGAATTCTTTAGTCCGATATTATTTACTTATAGATTTTATTTGTAAATAGACTTATTAAATAATTGATGTCAAATTTTATGTATTATTAATGCACGTAAATATTATGCTTGCTATAACTAAACATAACATAAGGACATTTTTAAATTTTGTCGATCTCTGTAATTATAAAAAAATTTTAATTGCAAAAACATTGCACCTAAATTTGGCTAAATTATTAAAATGAATGGATATTTCAATTACATTATCTTAAATAAAAATACATATTTTCTTACAGTTAATATTAAATAGTGTCTTACGTTCATTTTGCATAAAATTATGAAGGTATTTTATGTATATTAAAAGTAAGTTGAGATATTTTGCATATCGGATATAGAAACGAAGATGCCATGCATTTCAAGAAAATAATTAAAATATTAAATAGGTTAAAGACAAATTTTTAAAATATTTTTAAATAATTAAAAATAAATTATACAATCATTTTGTTAATTAATTATTATATAGAGAAATTTGAGTTTATTGATAAATAAATTTTATTTGCCTGATCAATATCCTCCAAAGTTATATTTATATATATATATATATATATATTTTTTTTTTTTAATTATTCGTCTACTCTATATTTCATTACATTCATTATTAACAAATGTTTTATTATTATTTTTTATTATTATATGTTTATTATTCAAATATATAGTTGTAAAAGAAATGGCATTAATACCTAAATACGTACGTACTATTAACTAAATTACATCTACTGTAAATATATAATAGAAGAATAATTACAACATCAAATATTTCTCTACGCCTTATTTTTCAAATTACAAAGAAAGATTTTATTTTTATCGATATATTATATGAGATTATATATATTATATTATATATTGTTTAGTATAATCTAAAGATTCATCGTAATTCAGAAAATAATATTTCTCTATTCAAACTTTTTATTAATTTGTGTTTATAATTTCTTCTAAAATATTATATCATAGGAAAAAAATTAATCAATAAAAAATAAATTAGCAAAAAAATATCATAAATTCTTAATTTTATTAAATTTAAAAAGTTATTAAATGATATTTTTTGCTAGAGAAGTATTTCAAATATTTAATAAAAATTTATAAACTGAACAAAAAAAAAAAAAATGTCAAAATTATGTCATCGATAGATATCTTTCTTAGAATTTTAATTAATTGACTCGTCATCACTTACCCACAAAATACAGTGAAGATATTTCATTTTTCGATAAATAGATTATTTTTAAGAAAAATATTATATCATATTTCTTACACGAATGCGAATATCAACACGAAAGTCCTTACACCAAAACATAATTTTATACGATATGATATGCTATTAATATTTACATTTATGTAAATTTTTGCGTTAAAAATCTTTTTAATACAGAAAAAAGAATCCATTTTTTCACTCTTTTTTTTTTTTTTTTTTTTTTTAAGAAATTGTCTATAATTACATACTGCTAAATAAGGCAAAAAACTTGTGGCAAAACATAATTTGTAATGTATGAGTTATATTAAAAGTACCTGATTGATACATCATTTATAGAGATCATTTAATGAGTTTAATAAAGTTTAAGTCGAGATGTTCTTATCGGCCTTAATAAGCTGGATAAGTTGAACTCGCTAACACATCCCAATTACAAAATAGACTCATGCAAACGTCATAATAGAGCTTTCTGCAAGACGTAAGCAAGAATTGTTGAAATTACAATTTCATATGATCCATTTCATGGATATATAAAGTTAATAATAAACCTTTGTTGTAATAATAATAAAGCACGATTATCGGAAGCTCTCCAACATATTTAACGCCCGTTCCGAGTCCGAAAGAGAGTATAGCGGCGCAGGTCAAAGTCGCGGCAACAAACCTAAAATTACATTTAAGACAGAGTGCACTCGTGTTATCAAAAGACTCGCCCTTGCGAGGCCACATTCGACCGCATCGCCGTATCCTCGTCAGCCTGCGTGAGGGGCTCGCCTCCACCTACGCCACCCCCGCACCGACCTCCCACCACCTTCGCCCATCCCCCGAACGGTACCGAGCAAAATCACAGAGGCGTAAGGAGGCCGCCTCTCCGGTTACACATGCATTGGTCGACGCGTCCAGGAGCAGCTCGGCGCGTGCGCCCGGGGAGGCCGTGAACGAGGCCGCCCCACCGTTTCGGAGGAAAAGTCGCAGTGTGACCTGGAGCGCCGCTCCTCTAGGATGAGTAGGGCCCTCATGCGGCTCATCCAGCTCCCGCACACGGTTATCCTCGACATATCGCGACGTCAGTCGACTGAACCGAGACACAGCACCCGCATCTCCATACTGGAACACCTTCGCGAGTACAAGGTACGCGCCTACCTTGGCTGGGGAGAGAAAAGCTCTCCTACGCCTGGGAGCGAAAGTGCTTTTGGCCGCAAGAGTTCCGAGTATCGCTTCCCTCGCGCCTTTGACATTGCACAGAGGCCGAACGATGCACCGATGACCCGCGTTTATCCTCTAAACAAACACACTTTATCGCTTTCTGAATCAAGGACGCGCAACTTTTGGTAATTCGCGCACCGAAATCCTGAGCTTACTTAGCTTCTTCCTTCGTCAATGGACTCGCTTGTCTCTTAGTTGTTTGTAGTGCGCATAACGAGTGATCGGAATTTTCGACTTGGAATCTTAACATTTTACTACGGCCTGAAGTATAAGGCGATAAAAAATATTGACAACTAGTATTACGCGATTTGTGTGAAACATCGATGGAATGTACAGTTTTCATCTACGAACTTGTGCCCATTTTGTAACATCTCAAAATAAACACATTTACTCGATATTACTCGATATTTTACGTTTTCGTACATGACAAAATTTTAATATTCGAGTTGCATTCTGTTATGCGGCACGCAATAAAACTGTCAACGACACCAGTTTAAAAATATCTTTTTTAGTTTTCTTTTAAGAGCAAAAGTTATAAGTTCACTAAAATAATTACCTTTCTACGACATTTTTCTACGTATTATACAATACTCATATTAAATGGATAACCTTATTTATCTCATTAAGGCCGATTATGTTTAATTATATAATTTTCATGCTAACACTAAGGAAATATACGTACACTAAATCGGTAAAAGATTAATAAAATATTAAAGTGATTTTATATGAATGTAAAATTATTCAATTATAATAACCATGAGTACTATTTGAAATTTACTAGCTTGATGCATGAAAATAATATAATGACATTCCATTTTAATCGTAATTTATAGAGTGACAATTTTTTAATGTTAACTCTGATTACGCATGACCATTATAAAAAGCTCGTATATTAAAGCACGAAAGAAAAAAAAATAATAATAAGATTGAGTGAAAAGATGATATGAGTAAATATATGGGTAAAATTATTGAGAATCATGCTTTATAATTCTTCTATATGATAATATCCGATTAAAAGAAAACATGTTAAATCATTTTTATTTTTAATTCAATAAAGTTTTGTTTTTTAATATAAACTTATTTCTTCAATTATTAAAATTAAATATACGATAAAACTGATATTATATTTTCATTAATGAAAAATAGAAATATAAAACTGAATTATTATAAGAATGTCCAAAGTTTTAAAATCGTACGAATTGATACAGTTTAAAGAGGAAATAAATCTTAAAGGATACTTAGTTAATAACACTAAATAATATTTAAATAATCTCATACTCTAATAATTTTATTTATAAATCTATTTTCAGATATTGTTACCAAATTTAAATTTACTCCAAATTATTCTTTTGAACTAAATAATATCGATTTAATTGCAGTTGGCATGCAAAAAGCTGTGGATGACATCACTAAATACTGTACTTTCGTCATACGCGCACAACAAAATTGATGTGGGAAATAACTTTAACAGATTAAACATTCTTACATCCAAAACTTTACTAGATTTACAAGTATGTATTTAAGGATTATTATATCAATTTTTATCCAAGAATTTTCATACTGTTATTTACTGATTTATGTGATTTAATTAATGGCATCTAATTGGCTTTTTTTTTTCTTAATTAAATTGTCAATGATACTTTATTGGTGTTGTAAATTTTACGTTTTATGAAATATTTAGAATACAATGCAATCGGATATAATTGCTTATATATTAGTTTTATATATTTTGTTTATAATATGAAAGCCAAATACCATATAACATTATTTATTTATTAAACACGTTCAGAATAGAAAATTTTGTTTTTTTTATGTTTTTAATTTTTTTTTTTTTTTTTTTTTTTTTTTTTTTTTTTTTTTTTTTTTTTTTTTTTTCATAAAAACAACATGAATTTTGTACATTATTTTATAAATTTATAAATTGAATGAATAAACCACTAAATAATTGTACAAATTTTAATAAAACTAATAAAATTGCAGCTCTAGATCTATTGTATTAATCTCCTAGTATTTATCGTATTACGGATGTACCAATATATAATTAAAATAAAAGTCACATTTGCAAATATAAAAATATTTTGAAAAAAGTATTTTATATGATTTTTACTTTTAAAATATTAAAGAATTAATAATATACGACTATGTATGATTACAAATTTAACAAATATCATCTATTTTGCATTTAATAATCCATTAAACATACATATTACACTTACGCACATGTAGATATACAGCTGTTATAATAAAATAATTCTTGTGCGAATATTACAGCAGATGGTCATAAAGACCCGAGCAATAATTGCTAGCGTTTTTGCATTTCCTTAACATAAAACAATTTGGGTTATCCAACTATATTGAATAATTCTGGAGGATATATTAATAGTCATATAAACATTTTTTCTTAAAATCAAATTTTATAAATACATGATTTTAATATGTATTGAAAAAAAAAAACACAAAAAACCATATAAATTACATATACTTGGTTATTTGGACACTTAATTTTCAATGACGTTAAATTTTCTTATTTAAGATGAAATTCGATTAAGAACGGAGTCTTCAATAAAAATGAAAAAAAGCTAATTTATGCTTTTTGAAAGTAAAAATACGTATGTAATTAATCTATTGTTATAATATAAATTTATTTTATTTCAGAAGCAGTTAAAATTTTAAGGCTGCTGTAAAAATTAAATAAATAATAAAACTTATATAAGCAATTATTATACAAATACTACCAAAGAAAAATTAATTAAGTAAATTATATACTCTTATTGCAAAAAATGTACGCATAAAATTATCTTTGATAATATTTGAAAAATCTAGCACATGTTACTTTTCTACTCAAATGAAATATGTCATAAGATGTCCGCAATAAGTGAAAATTAAATTTCTACATTAATATATATTATTATGAAAATTAATTATTGAATTAAATGTTCAAAGTATTCTTAATTAATAAGAAAATAAATTACTATATTCATCAACGTACACGAAAATTCTTTGTAGATATAACCCACTCTGTGTTATATACATATATGTATATATATATATATATATATGATTTATTGTTAATGCCTTATTTATGTATTAAAATTTTAACAACATTAGTCATAATGATTCATAATTCAGTATGATTGTAAATGGGAACTATTTACCTAAATATTTGGATTGAATGTGAAATAAATAGAGTGTTTTAATAATCACAAAAATTGCTCAGATGAATAAATGAAATTATATGAAAAATATCTTCCCATTTGTTCGAATAATGGAAAACTTGTGTTGAAGTATAAGAATTTTTAAGAAATAAATAAAGACAATCAAGAAGCTTTATCCATGTGCATTATTAATGGAAATTTGCTTGTTCCTAGGCAAATTTCTTATAGAATTTTTAATTTTTAATCTGAATATTGATCCTTTAGGAATGATATAAATAAAATTTTGTCACTTCAATGAATGAAAAGATGAGACAACACACCTTGTACATAATCTTAATTATTGTCACAGGCCTACTTATAAAAGTAAAATTAATCTTTAGTTTTAATGAATATCGAGTATTAATTGAAGTGGAATTTAATATGAAAAAGACAATGTTGCAACGAGTAAATATTATTGTTCGAACGAAGCCACTGAAAATTCTTAAAAATAATTCCCAATTATTTACGTTCTCGGTAGCAATCTCGCATCTCAATCGTTAGTCAATCGTTACAATTATTAAAGTTGCAAAAGTAAAAATTCACTACGATCATAACATAAGACAGGGGAGGTTATGGGCACGTTAAATAGATCGTTAGCTTTTCCCGGGTACGCCGATATAATTGATTTCACTTGAGGACTTTGAATGGCGCTTACCGATTGCCAATCCCATTGCAAGCCGGAAAGTAACTGTGACAGAATCGCTACGCCGAGCATCCGCCATTTGCACGATTATCAGATAATAAGAAAGAGACGTCTCGCGCAAAAAATCGAAACCCCCAAATAAATCTGAAAGCGCTCCGTCGTTCCTTATCCTCGTTGCGACCTACTAATTATCATATAACGAGCGAGCACGTACACAGTCGTAGACCTCCGTAACAAATCCTCTCGCTCTCTCGCTCGATTATCACCATCTCCATTCCCCTGGACAGCCGTTTGGCGCCATCTGCCGTATGCCGTAGAAAGTACGCGTATGACACGTCCGCCACTGTGAGTGTGCGTGGCGGCGACGAGATTACGCTTGCTACACTACTAATGCACGGCAATATCAGCGACGTATGAAAGTGTCGCTGCTCCTCTTAAGTGTGCGAGCATCGTATACCGGCGACTGCAGCAAGTTAAATTCCTATAGTCCAGTTGCGCGAATGGGGCCGTCGACACGAAGACGACGACCGTCGCGGCACACGCGACCGTAAGGCATAACATGCTTTGGGGCTATTTGAGTATCATCTGCAAGAATTTTCTAAGTCGTTGGATCCCAGCACAGGTATCCTCTATATTTTTATTATTATGCTCACTGTCTCTCTCCCATTCTTTATCTCACTCCCTCTCTCACTCGCTCACACACACACACACACGCACATTAGCATGCACATATACACACACACACGTGCACACATGTCTTTATCTCACTCCCTCTCTCACTCGCTCACACACACACACACGCACACACACACACGCACATTAGCATGCACATATACATACACACGCACACATGCACACACACACACACATATACACACTCTATATATATATATATATATATATATATATATATATATATATATATCGTTCGTTCTTATGTTTTGTGCAATTGTTTGTTGGGAGCGACGCGCGCGTTTCCGAGGGCTAAGGTTTCGGAACGAAGGGCCTTTTTGCAGGTCAATTTTTGCGAACGAAGCTTTCGTCGTACGACGGAGCGATGAGCACTGGTTTTGCGAGAGAATGAGATAGTTTGGAGAAGCCAGGCAGGTTCTCGAAAGCAATTCTAGAATTGAAAATTCCGATACAGTTTGGCGTTTGTCAAATGTTATTTTTGGCCTCGTACAACAAATTGATTCATAAATATTAGTAAGGCTTTGAGCTTTTTTTTCAAATTATTTAAGTAAAGATAACGACGCGGCAGTACAAAATTTTCAGTGTTCGAAACCAAACCGAGTTAAGAAGGAAAAGGTAATGAATTTGAAAATGTCTAGTTAGATATCCCGTAAAATGGATTAGATAGTGGTTTCTTTTAGGTTAGTGCTAGTCTACATGCAATATATATATATAACGAGGACCTTCATCACGTGATGATTTTTCTTTACGAACATAATATAAACATCGTTAAAACACTACTAAGTTTACGTATTTATTTGCTTAAGAGAAAAATTTTCCGATCAATCCATTCACCTCGTCTAGTTTTAGTTTTCAATGTTGGGATACGGCCTGTCCAATTTTTCATTCGATATTTATCATTTTTAATTCAAGAAAATCGATCGTAACATTCACTCATTTTCTTAGCTTAACTTGGTTAAGAGTCGTGGAGAACCGTAGATTACGAGTAAAAAGAGGAAATCAAGATATATGAGAGAATTTGAGTATTGACAAAGCTTGTTTTAGTTGAACATACATAAATTACTATAGAAAATTATTTTAAAAAATTCAGTAGCCATTATCTTTGGGATTCGATTGTGTTGTTTATTGTTTTAGTTTGTGACAAAATTGTCAAAATAACTAAATAGTAATGACAATTTCTTTATACGAATTTCTCGTGTTTATATTTTTAACATTAATTTTTATGATCCGATGAATTCGCATATTATTTATGTTAAGCAAAGCATGAGAATTGAGCGATAAATCAACTACTTATGAAAAATTATTATCATTAATATAGTATAAAACTCGTAAACAATGATTGTTTTAGATACTTTATTCGTACTGCTTGTAAACGTATATAATTTTTTGAACTAATTAAGTAAAATTGTATGAATTATTGTAATCGTAAGCTGGATTTTTTATTTTAAACAATAATAGTATTGATGCCATCATCACTCACGTATACACAGTTTATTTTATCAAAGCTATTTCATGTGTATATATATATATATATATAAACATTAATTTTATATTTAGCATAAGTGGTTACGTTAATGCTTGAAGCTTAAAATTCTCGCCTTTATATAAACTTTTAAATATCGAAGATTAAACTTAATTTATAAAATATTTAAGACATTTTAAACTATTAAATATTCTATTATAAATTCGAAAAATTTTGAGAAAGTACAAATCGTTGATTAATTTGTTGCTTATACTTATAATTAATGCTATTAATTTTCTATAATTTTTACATAACTCAACTTCTCTCAACATTCAATTAAAAATTAACAATATTACTGCCAAATTATAATGCTATTTCTTAATCGTATGAAAATAGTAACGGACGTTATGAATGAAAAATTGTTAAACTTTGTCAATTTTTTTACATATTTTCGTACGCAAGAGTCAATGAGCTTATAATTTACTCTATCGATTTATTGTCTAAAATATTGGTATCGTTTAAGGTCCTATAGAATTCCGTATTTATATAAAATTTTACTTTTTAACGACTAGAATTTTCTATTTTATTAAATCCTCAGCAATAAGCAAATATAACATAAAGTATATTTATTATCGGCTCGATTTCTTCAAATAGATTCTACGATATATTTTCCGATTCATTTAAAAAAAAAATTTTTCTTAAATATTTTTATGTATAACATTAATTTTTTCAAACATTTCAAAATTCACATTAATTCCAAGTTTTACGTATCGAGCTTCCTTATATACATATAATACACAAGATTCATACGTCCCGATATAACCTTAAACTGACCGACCGCCGTCTCAAAGCACAAATTGCACTGGAGTATAATATATTAATTTTCAGTCAATTTGAATTTTATTACAAAATAATTTTTGTATATTGGTTTGAATTATTTTCAGAATTATTAAATTTGTAAGCTTCTGGTCGGTTGCTAGCGCCTAAAGTTTAAAATGAGAATTGAATCGTACACTCATTGACAAATCATAAGAGAGAAAATTTTTTTTAATTTTCTATATGAAATTACTAAGATTTTCAAATCGAATGAACAACTAAACAACTTATGTACAATTAAAACTAATTTTATATATTCGTTTACAAATTTTCAATTTCCATTTCATTTAAAAAGTCATGCCCTGGATGTGCTAAAAAGTAGCGACGAGTATAATGTATCGAAATGATCGTTGAAATGAAAATTTTAATAAGCTATTAAAGAAATAGCTTGTTATTTATTTATTTATTTATTTATTTTAAAGCAATATCGTTTTTATGTAAGTAATTGTACGGCGAAGGGAGGGGGGGCTAAAAAATTACGAATTAAAAATATTTCGAACGAAAAAATAAGTAAAAATAAAAGATAAAAATTTCGGTCAAAGTGAATTTGGCGTTAAGGTTTCATTTTAAATTTCGCGGCAGGTGTCGTATGCGCGCCTGCGTGTCGGCCATTTCCGCCTCGTTCCGTGCACTTCCGCACGCGATTCTCGATTCTTCTAACCAATCCCATTGATCGGCCGTCTGGTTTCGCATTATCCTCCTCTCCTCCCGTTACCGTCCCTCTCCCCGCAATATCACCCGCCTTCCAAAACCGACCGACCGTTCGACCGACCATCGCCACTGCTGTACCCAACCTCGACGCACCAATGCTCCTCCATCTACTCCGCCCCCCCCCCTTACCGTCTCGCGCAACGCTCACGCTGTCGCCCCACCCCACTAGCAAATGACCTCGCGTGTGCGCAAGTAAGACAGACGCACGAGCTCCGAACGGCTGAGTAGTCGAGTGAGGACAACTTACATAGCTGCCGCAGTACGAGAACGCGTCACCACGTAGGCTTTCATAGCTAATACCTACTACTACCTGCCTCTACGTAATATTACTCAAGGGCTCGCGAGCTTGCTCGAAGAGCGCGCGCGCACATTAACGTCACGCATTCTTCTCTCGAGAATACTCCCTCTTCGTTGGTTGGGAAGCGAGAGCGCGCAATAGAGCCTGTGATTAAAGAGTGTGTGCGTGGATCTCCCAGCACCATACTTATTCCTGAGTACTTTAAACGCGGAAGAACAGTCGGGGATACGTCATTCGGGTCAATCCGATCGGAGCTAAGAGAAGCGCTAAGGGCTTATTGAAAATCAACAACGTAAGTGTTGCGTCGTTGTTGCGCATCAGCTGCTGCGACATCACACGGCACGTGCGTGTGCAATCATACGTACATGCATGTAGTGACTTGGATACAGATACACCTTTTTCCGTATCGTTATTCAGGGTTGGGGCGATTAGTGGTGGCGGCGGTGGCGTGTCGGGGCGGGGGGGGGGGGGGGGGGGGGGGTTAAGGACAAACGGGCGAGAGCGAGAGTACGGGTCGAGGAAACGTCGATCTGTTCCATTTTTTTTTTTTGGTTAAGGTACACTCCATCGCCATCGTCACCTTATCCACGCTCTTTTCCCTTTTTTCCTTTTGCTCGCCGTGTGTGGAACTTGCGCTCGACGTAGACGCGTGCACGATTGCTTCGTTGGCGGCAAAGCACCAACGGCACCCTCCTCGGCAGATGTGCTAAGTGCTCCACTGCCGTAGTCGTATTGTAAGCGTAAAGTCTGACCGGCGGCTGACGGTCATCGCATAAGAATTAATGTTGCCGCTTTAAAATCATTGGAAATGGAACGAGCGACGTGATTTCGAACTCCACAAGTCACATTTCATTTGAGTTTTTGTTTATTTCTTCTCTCTCCCCTCCTCCACCTTGTCACGCGTTGCAATATTCCCGGATTATTATCACTTGATTATACGTTGCAATTCTCCATCTCTCTCTCTCTCTCTCTCTCTCTCTTTCTCTCTCTCTCTCTCTCCCCCCCTCCCTCCCTTTGTCTTTTACCCCCAATGTGTTTCTACGATTCAACAGCTGTCCACCTCACATATCACCACAAATCACAAATAGAAATAACTCGATTGTCCGATAATCATACGTAATTTTTATTGTCGCACGAGGCTGTTTTTCACTTTTGTTCATTCTCCCCTCCCTGTTTGTATTAGCTTAATAAAAAATAAATTACTACATTTCAAACATGCTATGCGTTTTTTTTTTTCGTTTTTTATAAGCGATAGACGTTTATTGGCGCTGGTGTTTTTACACTCGACGCCAACTTGCGTATTTACTTGTAAATTTTTCTGCGCAAAGCTTCTCAACGAGACTCTATTTTTATTGTACAATTATGAGTTATTGCAGTAAGATTATAATGCACAAATGAAACATTTGCTATTCAATTTCAATTTAGATTTTAATTGAAACATCCGTCGTTTATTCGCTGAAAATTATTAAAAATACAAACTTGGAATAATACGGGAGTTAACTTGTCAATTTACGGTAGTAAGACCGTCACGACATCGTCTCTCAAATTGTAAAATACAGGGCAGATGTTCCAAGATGGTCGCTAAGTCGCGAAAGTCCGCTTCACAGTAGTGCGCTCCTACGGGAAAAGGAAGTACACGCGTCCTAAACAATCATTTTATCGTCTCAAAAACTGCTGTAGCTTATCGTACGGAGTTACAAACTTTTTGAAAACTCAGTATCCAGCATCTTCTTGTAATAAAGCACATCGCTTTGCTGCATCCATTGACTTCACGTATATTGGGATTGTTACTGTGGTTATAGCTCTACTACACATTCGATCACACATTCTCGAATTTAAAGGTCTGCTTTATTTATCAACTATCAATTTTATCTCTATGCATAGTCAAATATTTTTTCTGTATCGAACCGAAGCATTATTAATTACCATGTATACTTTATATAATTCATGTAAACTTATTTTCTATATCTGCAGGTATAATTTTTATGTTAGGCTAATTTGTATCTACATATTTTTATTTTAAACGTAATTTTAAAGCTGAAATACTGGGTTACATTAATGGTCATAGATCATAAAATTAACCTTAACTTGGCGAGAACAGTAAATTGAACATCTTGTTAATCCAGCGTTCCTATATGATGAACTTATTTATAATTCTTAATTCAAGTTACTTCTTACAAAGAAATATGCGTTTTCAACTTTTTGTTTTTCAATTAATAGTAGTACTTAAATATCTATAAAAAATAATTTCCATATTATCCATTCAATTTTTCATATCATTAAGATGTACTTTCCTTTGGGATTATATCCATGATTGATAAAGTATCCTAGATTATACAAATTTTGTCTAGAAAAGTATATGAACAGAGTACCAATGTATTTACGTTTTCATAGGTTATATATTTAAATTGGTACTTCAATGCTAAAATTGAATAATTTACTTACATAAAATATTTCTATACCAATTACAGATGCCAAGAAGTAGGAGACGTCACCGTTCGCGAAGCCATTCGCGATCACATTCACCTGCTTCACCACAATATGATCACAAACGAAGGCGGATTGATCATGAAAGTCCTCCAAGTAAAGGAACATATAGGTGAATAGTTTTCCAATATAAAAATAATACATTTTCTATGTTTGTCGTTAATTGAGGGTTTTTTAAAAAATTTGTTTCACCAACGATGTATCTACTATAAATTAAACATTATTGTTTTGTGAAATTAACTACCAATGCTAATAATTTATAAACAGGGAAATATAAAATTAGCCAATAAACCTATGCAGTTCTTTATCGTGTATACATGATTTTCTATAGTTTAAATTAATAAAAATATTAAGTTTATATAAAATGAATCTTAGCTTTAGTAATTGTATTAACTACTAAATGTGTTGCGAAGCTCTTTTAAACTGGGCAATAAGTATTAAGATTTTATCAAAATATAATACTTCATTTACTCTAATGGCAAAATAAAATATTATTTCTTTAAATCGTATATCCAGAAAACAAACTTACATAAGTTTTCATTTAGATTTATGTCACTTACCTTCTTAATTAAACGTACTTCACAGACATTCTAAGATTTATGAAGCATTAGAATGAAGTGGAAATAATGTTATTTAAAATACATGGTATAAACAAATTTTGATGACACTGTGATTTATAACCTTATCTATTAATGAGCTTATGATAACAAAGATTTGAATAAGATCAGCGTGAACAATATACAAATATATAATGATGAATTTGTTCAGAGTATTTAAAATAAATTGTTAGTAAAAACATTAAATTAAACATTGCTTTTATGTATAATTTTAAATATCCTGTAATACTTAACGGAATTAATATATTTGTTTACTATTTACTGTTAATACGAAAGTATATAATATTCTACAGTGAATTTAATGTACAATTTATCTCAACATAATATAAAAATGTCTTAAAAATTGACAAATTAAAACACTATTAGAACTAAATGTTGAAATATTAACATAACATGAAATGAAATACTTAATATCCATATAGACGATAATTCCTTTCATGAATGAATTAAAATGTGTTAATATATTTAAATTATTAACATATATTTTTGAAAATTTAAACTTTTTTAAATATCACTAGTCATATAAAATATTATTACAACGCTATTACACTGTGTAAGGAATTCTCTTCATCATTTACCTAATGTAAATGTGCTCGTCTTATGATAGAAAATTATTAAAGGGTCGATTCATTTTGACAGTCAAAATTCAAATTTGTTATAATTGATTAAAAAAAAAAATCGTTTTCATACGTTAAATGAAAATTTTTTAATTATAAAATAGTAATAAAAAAGTTATCGAAATATAATTTTATGATATTTTTCAAATTTATTTCTATGAAATAGCAAAATTTAAATAATATATCAGATTTTTATATTATATAAATTAAATTTTATTTTTAAAAAAGAATCATCGAATTCTTATATACTTTGTTTTATTTATATATTATTTATTGTGGACATAAAAATACGTATACATTTTATAAAAATTATTAATTGTGTCAGGTTTATGATTTCAGTCACGAAGTGTTTTAATAGTCAACTACAAACTCGATCATTTTGTAATTACTCTAGTAATAACAACATTTTTATATTTTGTATTTGTAAATTTAAATAGAAAGCATACTGAAGTCTTTTTCATGAAAAAAAAAAATAGATAAAATTTAATATCTTATTTAAAATTTGAAGTGATAAACGACCACGTTAACTCAACATAAATATTTTATTTTATAATCTGTATTATTCATTTTTATCGCGATAATTAATAATTACTAGATATAAGTAAAGTGATAATTAAATTAAAAGAAGATAAAATCTTTGTTATCAGGCTAGATCGGAATAGCTTAAGAAAACCTTATTTTATATAATTTATTCTAATAATTTATATTTTTACTTAAATGCAAAACGATAACAGCAATTCTATAGAAAATATGATTGTGTCTATTATAAGAATAAAATTTTTAAATAAAATTTATGTATTCTTTATATTTTAATATTTATATAAACGCAATCGAAAAAAAAATGTATAAAAATACGATATCGAATATGCTAATGTTAATTATAAATAAGGCTAAATTCAGTCATAACGTAAATGCATTAAAAAGCCTAAATCATTTGGATTCTATTACACCCAGCGCATACGAATTATAACTCACTCGACTTTGATAATAAAACAATTCAAATTCATTACGTACTTCAAAATATGCGAAATTCGTAGAGGTAAGATGATTAATCGTATTAGGATCTTATAAGGGTTTATAAGCATATTATTTCAATGAATTTTATCAATTAGCTGGTTGAAAAATACTTTCTTATTGGCTTGTCGATTAATTTCTCGTCTTTTGATCGCCAGTTGTAACCATTTTTAACAACTTTTAAATTATTTTACTACTTTTACTTTGCTCAATTTTGAATGCACCATTAATTTTCTATTTAATATCGAGCATGTGCTTGAGTTATTATTAAATTTGTTAATATATATATATATATATATATATATATATATATATATATATATAAATGAATCCCTTAATATATACATAATTTATTAACTTATTATGTTTAATCAAAGATAGAAAGAATAATTTTCATGAATTACGTTCATTGACAAACAGATAAATTGTACTGTAATTATATTCTTATCATTTATTAGCGATCGATCTGACTCTTATTATATAATTGTGAAATGGGTTTGATATTTCTTTTGCGGTGCTTTTGTCTTTCAAAAACTTAATATATAAAGCCTGCCCTACTAAATAAATGTTATGGCGCTTATATAAACTAATATTTGTATATTATATAAATTATATTCTATAATGAGAACATTGATTATTGACTGCTTTATACTTATGGACAAGTATACTTCTAAAAATATTATAATGCTTAACTTTTGCACTTGCTTATTGGATTACAAAACATAGTATTTTAAATAATGAAAGTTCTCTCCGTGCATTTATATTGCATTTAGTATGAAATAAATTAAAATTGTCAAAGTAATCGTAATTTTGCTTACATACTAAAATATTAAGTTTTTGAAATGATAATAATATATTTTGGTTCATTAGAAGATTTAATATTGCACTTTTGTTTTGTATTGAAAGTATTAGACAAGTCGAATCATGTTTTATAATTTTACAATAATTTACTTTTTTTGTTATTTGACTATATTAAATAACCATTATTAGAAGACTTTCCTTTTATTAAATAAAATTTTTTATATAAAATGACTGATTATATACAAATAATGTTGGAGGTGCATTAAATAATGAAGTACATTTTCTATAAACAATCATCATTATAGCATTATAAAATCTGAATAAGAAAATTTAAAAAGGATTGATATTGTCGAAAAGTGTATCGTTATAGTGGTGGTTGTCCGATGGGATAATCCTCAGATTATTATGGCCTAAAAATAATGTGAATAACATGCGATACATTTCAATATTTACCGTCGAAAGATGACGAAATTACAATGTAGAAGATGTCAATGAAATTTAACCAAGCACCTTTCAACAGTTAGTATCGAAGCAGTTACCTTCAATCGATACAAATAATTGAAAAAGCCGATATGTAGGAATACCGACATTTTACCGACAATCGGTGAAAAATCTACTTACTATTTTTCATTCGTCAACTACCACAATTATTTTAAATGTCTTCATTCATAATTTAAGAATTGCATACGTTGAATCGTGCCATGTCGTCGTCAGTCATCTTTTCAAAAATTCTACCCAACGATTGTCGAGCATTGTTTCCGTTGTAACTCGACTCTTACAATGCTCACAGCGCTTGAACCTAGCAAATAGTGTAATCCATGCCACGATTTTCTCGTTATTCTTATCCGCATGTCGGCGGTGTATTAATTTGTTTTATAATGAAACTTGCGCGTCCGAATCAGCGACGCATTATACGTGCATCTCTTAAAGAGACGTCCGTCATATCCAAGCCACTCGCCTCGATTTGCTTCATTCGCTACGTTTAACATTCGTGTAATTTAACGAAGAGCTTACTTATTTATAATTGAACAGTGACGCAACGGACGATATTATAGTTGATTTGTCCTGAATGTCGACAATTTGCTTTGAGGCAGCCAGCTCGTCATTCTTTTCTCCTAATGTAAACAAAAGTGGGAGAGGGAGACAGACAGTGAAAAGACAATAACTTCGAATGCATGATCACGAACAACGATCCGTTATGATACTCCGTTCATACTAAACATGCGCTTAATGTCGTAATTAAATTTTTCACTAGTGGTAATTTTTACCATCTCCCATCCTTTTCTGTCATTCAATTGCATTGGGAAGAAAAGGATAGAGTTGCAAGGTCGAATGCTTTCGCCCGTCGACAAAGAGTTCCCACTCTGGTGTTCCATCATCCAGCGCCTATCTCTTTTTCCTCTATCTCCTTCCCCGCCTTCGACATCCCACGTCCCGGTACATCACGTTGCAAATTGCCTCTCTCTCTCTCTCTCTCTCTCTCTCTCTCGGTCGGTACACCCCCCCCCTCCCATCACCACCACCCCGCCTCATTCGCGGCCGCCTCCCACTATCGGCTCTTCGCCGCCGTAATAGTAGCGGAATCCTTCAATTTCCGAAGGTTCAAATACGTGTGCAGTCGCTCGACCGCCAGACGACGCCGCGTACAACCACGAGGCAACCGGACGGACTAGACACCCTTCCGATCAGATGCTCGATGTCGTTTCCTTGCGCTCGCTGCTCCCGTTATCTAAAGGCCTAAAGCAAAGGCCATTTATAATAATTGAAAACCGAGCCTTGGCCGAAGAGGAGGTGGACGAGGCGATTGACAAAAAATCAACGACTTTGGGGTTAGTGTGCTTGATTGGTTTTATTTTAAAAGGATTGGCCAAAGTGTTGTTTGTTTATCTTGCGGTGAGAAATGACCCCTCGTGTCCAATGTCGATGCTAGCAACGGTTTTTTGCTTTTGGTTTGCAGCTCACCTGGATTTTAGAATAATAATAAATCGGAACATCCAATTGTGATAAAATAAGAAATTAATTATTTTCTTCATTTAATTTGTTTTGATTGTTCTTTTTTTTCT